CTGGAACTTACTGTATAGTTCAGGCTGGCCTCAGACTTGTGGTGATCCTCCTGCCTCAGCCTCCCAAGTGCTGGGATTACAGGTATATGTCACAATAGCTGGATTTTTACATTGCTTTTTAGACCATTGTCATAGGCTTTGAAAACGTACAGGAGACTTTATTGGGTAGATGATCTGTATTTTAAATTTTTTCTTTGTTAACAAAATTTGTGCTAAATTCCCTTGTTTCCCATTATTTAACTTACTTTTATTATGAGGAATCTCAGATTTTAATGGACAGCTTTCATCAAAGTAGTGTAGATTGTTAAGATGTCTTTTAAAGTGTAACTTCTTGGGCTCAGATCTCTTGAATGATGATGTAGGGTCTGAAAGTCTTCATTTTTTACTAGATTGCCAAGTAATTCCTTCCTGTGTTAAAAGTTCAAGTACTGATTATTCCAGCAAATATTTCTTCCAGATTGTGCCTGAAGCCATAATACTTTCTGTGCTGTTATAATCGTTACGGTTTTCTCACTTTTTTTTTAGGTATTGAGTCATCTAGTAATTATCTGCAGTCTTCTTTTGCTTAGCCTGTTTTACCTTCAACTTTCTCTTAGTTGGTGTGAAAAACTCCATGTAATTTTGATGTTAGAAGAGAGCAGGTTAACAGCACCATCGTTGAGGTAGATGCTGAGAAAATCAAATGGATAAACAAGTGACCATCAGAAATGGTGTCTAGTTACAGATAAAGGCCTGCCAACTGTATAAGTCATAGTACTGTGACTGAGACTGAAAGGAAATAGTTATGCTGAGGAAGAGCGTTTCTTAAGCCTTGTTCAGATGTGTGCTCTGTATCTAGACTGGGAATGTGCATTGCTTTAATTCCAGCTTTGATTATTAGATGATGTGAAATCAGTAAAAATCTTATAAAACTTTGAAAAGAAACTTCTCTTTCAAAATATAAGTCTTACAGTTTTTCTGTGCCCTAAGGCCTTTGTTCATCCATTTTTTGATCTGTCAGCCTGGGAGTTCCCTTAAAACTACAACCATGTCATGTATATCTTTTTTTGTTTTGTTTTTTTGGTACCAGGGATCAAACTCAGGTCCTTGTGCTTTGTCATGTATATCTTGTCATAGTCTGTGAGACCCAGTTCTAGATCATGAATATAATAGAGCTTAATTATTAAATGAATGCATTCTACTAATTTTTGATTTGCATTCAGAAGTTTTTCCTTTGCAAAATTCCTTAATTTAGATTTTGTTGAAGTTACGAGCATAGAACTTCATCATTGTTTATGCATGCTTCTTACTAAGCAGACTTTATACAACCTGGATTTCTCAGAAGAATAAAACTTGTGGTTCATTGGTCTAGTTACTTGGCTTATGTGTGATTAAGCAGAACCAGACTTCTTGTAGGCCTCTCCTTCCAGAGCTCGAGCTTGTGAGTTTCAGCAATGAAGAACTGGCAATATAATGACATGCCAGGGAGTGCTTCCTGCAATGTAGAGCTTCCTGCTTTCTTGTCTCCAGCTGATGATGGGGAGTGGTGGTGGCTGGCTGGTAGAGGTAGGATGAGGGGGATCTTACACTGTCATTTGAACTCAACCCACTCTTTCTCCTAGTGCCCCCTCACTTCTTACGTGGTAATTTTGCGCAGTTCTTAGCCTTTCTGGTGCTCTCGGCAGGTAGCACTTCTGTTTTAAAGGGCACAACTCCAGAAGCACCGAAGTTCAGATTTCTCCACTCTGCTTAGTCCCTTTTTCTGCTTTCTTCAAGAATATTGTTGCCATCTCTAGTTTATCTCTTTCTTGTTTTCTCTCTCTTTTTTTTTTAGAAATCAAATTTAATAAGTTACTGTCTTTTTAAGTGAGAGCTAAAAAACAACTTGTATTCAGTCTTCTGTGCATTTTTGTTTTGGTGCAGGGGATTGAACCCAAGGCACATAACCACTGAGCTGTTCTCTGAGGTTTTGAGGAGTCCACCTAGATCACTTAAAGAAGTGATTAAGTAAAACTATTCAGTAAGGTAAAAAAAAAATTTTTTTTTTTTGTACCAGGGATCAAAAGCGGAATCAGTAAGGTAAATTTTAAAGAGGACTAAGTGGTTGTCTTGGTTTTAGTCTTGATTATTGAGGTCTTCTATGGAGAAATGGATACTAGATTTTTTTTTTCAGTATAGTCATGTTATGTGTCAGATTTTGGCATAGTTTCTAACATTTTGTTTGGTTCTGTCATCTTTGTGGGCCAGTATATTGCCAGAAATTCTATCAGTCTCAGCCACAGGTTTTTTTTTTTTTTTTTTATTTTTTTTTTTAAATTATAATCAGTTTTGGTAGTCAGCATTCTGTGGTTTGAATTATTTATCAGTGTCATTTCCTCTCTCTTCCCTCATTCTTTTTTTTTTCAGTACCAGGGATTGAACTCAGGACCTTGTGCTGGTGAGGCATGCATGGTGCCACTGAGCTAAATCCCTGACCTTCTCTCATTCTTTAATAGAAGCATTATTTCCTATTCTGGGGAGGATAGGGCTGAGAAGATATTTGAGGTGTCTCTTAAAAGATAACTGCCATTACTGTTCTTTTCACATTTGTCTTTGCCTTACCTGTTTTATATCTATAACTTATTGACTTGAAAATTTTAGCCCTTAGGTAGTTTGTATACAGATGTGATCTTTTCTTCCCTGATTTGACCCACAAATCAGGGTTTATATATCTTTGATCATGTAGCACTGCATACTGTAATCTGTCCTTGGAACCTTATAGTGATTTGTGATTATTTTACACTAGTGTTATCGATGGATGTGATTCTCCTATGGATTCTTCAGAGATAGTTAAAAATTCTTCATTATGGCCGGGGATTTAGCTCAGTGGTTCTGACGCCTGCCTTGCAAGCAGAAAGACCCCCACACACACACCAAAAAAATCTTCATTACATTTAAGTTCTCATTAGAAATCTGAAGGAGTTGCTGGCCTAACATACCGTTGGAATGTTATCAGGCTACTTTCTGTTTTAGATAGGGAATAAGAATAAATTACTACTTTTAAATGGAAACGAAGTCTTTGTAAATAGAGAAGAGAGGAGGGGGTGAAGGGAGGGCAGGGGTAAGGGGAAAACAAGAGAAGCAAGATCTGTCATTCTGTCATGTAAAGGTACAAGATCCCAATGATGAATGTAACTGTACTGTATATTTAAAAAATACCAATAACCTCAATGAGAAAAAAAGAATAAATTACTACTTTTAAGCTTCTGCAATTCCATTTATTTTTTCCTTTTCCTACACAATTAAATTTTTTTAAATTTTAAATTGAATTTATTGGTACATTCTAGGTAGACAGTGCAGTTACATTCATTACTGGGATCTTGTACCTTTACATGCCCTTTGTCCTCATTTTTTCCCCTTGTCCCCACCCTCCCTTCACCCCCTCCTTCAAACTTCCCCTTCCCCACCTTCAAACACTTTAATTCCATTTTTATATTTTCTCATCTTTTTTTTTCTTTTCCCTTATTCCCCTTTCCCTGTCCTTCTCACTGTCCCTACACCTTTGGTTCTTTTCTTCCTATTTCACATTGCTAATTGACCCGTTAGGATCTTGAGTACAATTTTAGTTTTTCACACCAGAGAAACTCTGTGGTATTTGCATATGTGTGGCTTATTTATTTCACTTAGGAGTATATCCTCAAAATGTATCCATTTACCTATGAATGAATCTACTTTCTCATTCTTTATGGCTGAGCAGTATTTCATTTTATAGAAAAACCACATCTCCTTTATCCGGTTTCCAACTGATGGGCAGATGGGCTGTTTCCAGGTTTTATCTATTACACACTGCCGCTATAAACATGGGTGTGCATATATCACTGTGGTATGATTCTTTCAATTCTTTTGGAAAGATACCCAACAGAGGGATGGCTGGGTCAAATGGAACCTCTAATCCTAGTTCTTTGAGGTTATCTCCATATTGACTTCCATAGTGGTTGCACGAGTCTGCACTCCCACCAACAGTGTTCGAGAAGGGTTCCTGTCTCCCCACAACCGCGCCAACATTTGTTGTGTGATTTCTTGATAGCAGCCATTCTTTGCGGGGTGAGGTGAAGTCTCAGTGTTGTTTTCATCTGCATCTCTCGAATGACCAGTGATGTGGAGCATTTTTTCATATATTTACTTGCTGCTTTTTTTTCTTTGTCTGAGAAATGTCTGTTCATTTCAGATGCCCATTTTAGAATTGGGTCTTCATATTTGGGGAGGGCTGGTTGTTTTGACTTCTTTATATATTTTAGATAATAGTCCTTTGTCTGAGGAGCAGCTGGTAAAAAGTTTTCCTCACATTGTAGGTTGTCTCTTAGTTCTGTTGATGGTTTCTTTTGCAGTACAGAAGCTTTTTAATAAGATGAGATCCCAGTTGATTCTTTCTGCTAGTTCCTGTGCTACTGAGGATTTGTTCATAAAGTCTTTTCCTATGCCAATGTCTTCCAGAGTTCTGCCTAACTTATCTTCCAGCAAGTTTAGTGTTTTTGTTTTTATATTTAGATCTTTAATCCACTTGGATTTTAATTTAGTGCATGGTGACAGATAAGGGTATAGTTTTAATCTTTGGCAGGTTGAGATCCAGTTTTTCCAGCACCATTTATTAAAGAGGCTATCTTTCCTCCAGTGGGGATGGTCAGCTCCTTTGTCAAAGATGAGGTAGCTGAGTGCATCTGTAGTTGTCTTTGTGTCTTCCAATCGGTTCCACTGATCCTCAGGTCTGCTTCTTTGACAGTACCATGCTGTTTTTATCACAGTGGCTTTGTAGTACAGTTTCAAATTGGGAATTGTCATACCCGCTGTCATGTGTCTGTTGCCTAGGATGGCTTTTGCTATTCTAGGTCTCTTATGGTTCCAAATGAATTTTTTGATTCTTCTTTCTATTTTTGCCTACACAATTGATTTCAAGAAAAGGTTTGAATGTCTTGATTTCAAAATGGATCTGAACTATATTGATGAACTGATACTTTTTAGTGAACTGTGTTTTCTGTTTTCAGGTTCTGTTCTAGATATTATTAAGTATATTGTGGCAAAGGGAGAACACAAAAATGGAGTACTAGATGAACCTACCATTGCTACAATACTCCGAGAAGTATTAGAAGGCCTGGAATACCTGCATAAAAATGGGCAGATCCATAGGTATGTGGAAGAGATCACTTTTATTTTGGATAAGCATGGTGATTGATAGTTGTATCATCTCATTGAAGCCACAGAATTCATTAAGCTCTGAGTGTTATCATGGTTTTGTATCACTAGTTTAAGTACATTGTGATTGGAGTTTTAAATATAAAGCTAGTATTAAGAAAGTGACAAATACTTTAATAAAATTGTAAAATGAAAAACAATTGTTTTAATAAGAGAAAATGGAATTTTTTATGTGCTTGAGAAATACCTAAGCTAATATATAATATACAATTTTGTATTATACCTGCAGTCATTTAGCACAGCAAACTATAGTCTGGGCTTGGAACCCTACAGTGATTTGTGATATCTTATTTTGTATATAATATGTATGTGTGTGTGT